AAATCAACTGATTTCTTTTGTATCTCCAAACAAACACTCTTTTCCAGGTCATTCATGTAGCCCAGGGGTAGTCAACCTTTTTATACCTACCGCCCACTTTTGTATCTCTTGTTAGTAGTAAAATTTTCTAACTGCCCACCGGTTCCACAGTAATGGTGATTTATAAAGTAGGGAAGTAACTTTATAAAATTTATAAACCAGAGTTACATCAAACCCCTACCGCCTACCATGAAAGCTGGAACGCCCACTAGTGGGCGGTAGGGACCAGATTGACTTCCACTGATGTAGCCTGTCATTTGTAGATCACCTTTCTCTGCCTTGTCAGATAAAACTTTTTTTCCCAAACATCTTTTTGACATACAATAGTTTATCCATAGAACCCAACATAGTTTTTGATATTGTTGATATTAACTTCTGATCTCATTTTTAAAAAATATCTTTCAGTATTTCCAATATTATAATATTTTGCATCTTTCAGTAGCTATTTATCAGATTTATGTATTCTTTCATTCTAGTGTCCAAGTTTTAAAACTATTTATATTAGAAAAATTTCAAAATAAGTACACTTCCCCAGGAAGGGATTTATTTATTTATTTTAAAATAATAGCAGAAAAAAGAAACAAAACACAACATTAATTATCTCCATCCTCAAAGGAAAAATGCATAACAGTGCTTTTAAAGGTGAAACAAATATAACAGAAAAGGAAACAAAATATAATATATTGTTATAATGGTAATCAGTTTTGATTTTATACATACTTATCTAATGCAAATATGCAAGTAAGTATACATTTACTTTTAATACACATTAAAGATTAAAGGCAGATTCACTTGGTGTTTTCAGATTTCAATCCAGAGGTTTCTAATAGGAGAAAAATAGATAAAAAGCTATTTCTGAGTGTGATTAGAAAAAGAATTATGCAAACGTAGCCTCCTTTTAAAAGCGCTGACCAGGGTTTGAGCAAAATGGATATTCCCTCATTTCTCAATGCTCAAAACCTAATGATTAATTTATCCTGGTTCTTGGCATTCAGTGATACAGCCTAAGAATCAGCTTCTCCTACTAAAGCACGGGTGGTGTCATGTTGTTGTAACGTGACGCATCATGACATTTTCCCCTTTGCAGAGCTGGGGTGGGTGTGGCCTGCATGTAACACATCCAGCCAGTGGGCCACCAGTTTGACACTCCTGTACTACAGAGTCAAAATGTTGGTAAAAAACCCAACTAACTTAGAAATCAACTCTCTTCTACTTTTATTCCATTATCACTACTGAGAAAAATAACTATATAAAGACAGACCCAAGGGGGAAATATTTATCCATTACATTAAAGCTATGCATTCCTTTAAGTTTATCCTGTCTCCTAAACACTTTATGAACGTGTCAAGCGCTCTAGAAACAGTATGAGGATACCTTCTAATCTCCCAGCCTAATCCCCATCCATTGCACTTCTTGATCCCCCATCCATGTACCAATCAACCAACCAACCCAACTCAGCTTCTGTTTCCAAACGCGGTTAACTAGATATAATTGGATATGAAGACCAAATAAGTGATTTCCAGCCAGGGATTGGCGGGGAGCAGAAGAGGTGGGCATAGAGAAATAGTCTATAATTTTGAGGGTTTTCCCCCCACTATATCTCCTATGCTCTTAAGCAACTAAAGATTCTTAAAGGTTGTGAGGATGGATGTTTTTTGAAGATCAAATGAATTTTGAAAATAGGTTAAGTTATCAGATGGTTACTAATATTATTGCTCTGGGAACAATAAGACAGAACTCTTGGTTACTGTTGCTAATATACAATGTGGCCTGCTTCCCATACAGCCTGAAATTACATATACTAACAAAGAACATGATTTATTTTTAACATCCACGCTGGTCTTGTAATAGAATAAGGAGGCAGCAGCAGAAAATGGAAATTTGATATAAGGTGGTGCTTTTATTTTCATTGAATTTTTTTCCTGAAAGTTTCTAATGATAGCTTCACTTTCTCTTACAGCCCCAGAGGAGAGAAGATCCGCAGCAGAGTGGAGCTGTTAAGGTTGCTGGGATGCTCACGGGATCTGACTGATTTTGATTACAGGAGAGGAATCTTTGTTGAGCCAAACACAGAGGTATTATTATAGGTAACACTGGCTGTGATAGCCTGATTGGTTGCTGTGAATTTTGTTCCGAGTCATATTGCAAAGGTTTTGTCTTGCTGCCACCTTCCAATTAATCCCAGGTTTTAAAGTATTTTTTGTTGTTTATTTTTCCAAAGTAGATTGCTTTATTTATGCTTATTTTGTTTATTCCTGGCCCTTCTTTTATTTTATCCTCATAATTACTTTGTGAGACAATATAATCTGAGATATACAGATAATCCTTGATTTATGATTACATTTGGACCAGAATTTCCATTGTAAGTAGCTTTTAAATGAATGGTTGTAAGTCGAGGACTACCTGTAGTTGATCTGTGATTACTGGTGAGCTTTCTCCACTTGTACAAGATGATCCTTTTCTGTGATCATCTGTTATCCTTGTCTTCTTACGGGGGAAGCTGAGCTCACATCGTGCTTAATAAGTTTTGTTGGAAAATCTATAGTTGAGGTGATTCTAAGGATGCAGGATTTTCTATTTTATTGATAAGTTAACTTCCTAAACTAAGAATAAATAAATAGATTATATTTATATAATCTATTTATTTATTTATTATATTATATAGTAGCAGTACTAGTAGTATATTACTGTAAGTTTAACTGTCTCCTCTGCCTCTTATCTCCTCTTGCAGCCGCTGTCCTCAGCACTCTTCTCACCTACTGAAGGAAGTCCTCAAAGGGTGAGTGTATACAATCTTCACAAGCCAGAGCATTGTGATATGTAGATTGGTAGTTTGGTTGCCAGCTGGCAAAATATGATCAGGCAGAAGAGGTGGAAAGTCATCAGCATGATTGGTTTACTTGTTTGGCTGAATAGAAATTAACTAATGAGCAATTTGGAAAGCTATTTGATGAAAAGTATTCAAAAAGTACATGCCAAAGATGTCCTGTTCAAGTGGTAAATTAGTTGTGCTCTCTGGATCATTAACAATTTTAGTAGCCTCCAATTCGCCATGGATATTAGTCAATGTGATACAGATAGTCCTGGACTTACATCAGTTCACTTAGTGACCGTTCAAAGTTACAACGGCACTGAAAAAAGGGCAATTACCATTTTTCACACTTAACGACTGTTGCAGCATCCCCATGGCCACGTGATTTTATATTCGGATGCTTGGCAACTGACTCATGTTTACGACGGTTGCAGTGTCCCAGAGTCATGTGATTCCCTTTGCGACCTTCTGACAAGCAAAGTCAATGGGAGAAACAGATTCACTTAGCAACCGTGTTGCTAATTTAACAGCTGCAGTGATTCGCTTAACAAATATGGCAAGAAAAGTCGTAAAATGGGGCAAAACTCGCAAAACAAAATTCTCACTTAGCAACATAAATGTTGGGCCCAGTTGTGGTTGTAAGTTGAGGCCTACATGTATTAGCCAGAGTAGAACCATAACAGGAGTATTAACTGTATATAGCAGGCTTACATTCTTGCAAGTCTGAAAGTACTCCTCCTATCCTTCACTTTTACTCTCCCAAAAAACTAGGGAAGATCCTTTCTGAGATGCTTTCACCACTCTTCTTCCTTCCAACTCAAATTTCGGTTTATCAGGCCATTGTCCAGGCCATGGATGTCAAACTTGCAGTGTCACATTGCGTGACTTGTCACAATGTTTTTTCCCTTCACAGAGCTGGAGTGGGCGTGGCCTGCATGTGACGCATCTGGCCTGTGGGCCACCAATTTGACCCCCCCCCCCAGGTCTAGGCTGTGGCTCTTCCTCCTGTCTCCCAAGGTCATTCCCACATACTGTTACAAATGGAAATCCATGTGATTAAAACTACCATAAGGATAATTGTTTTCCACTCTTTCCCTGGAAAAGGAAGATTCTAATCCATGGTTTTTCAATGTATCCTACATTGTTTTGTTGGAGTGTTTGAATGAGAAAGTACCTAACAGGTGTCCTTTGCCTGAGTGAAGCAATGTAAAAAGCGAATGAACTGTAGAAATCATGGATTGGCTTGTACAATTAATTAATTTCCCTGGTTTTTGGTCCTTGGTAAAACATTTTCATGGATCGAAGTGTTTGGTTACTAACACACACACACACACACACACACACGCACACACACACACACACACACACACACACACACGAATCCTGTCTTTTTGGTTCAGAAATGGCACTTAGGTGAACGTGAAGTATGGATCTTATATAGCCATTAACCTTGAAGTAAGCTTTTATTTGCAGACAAGAGTCTTATCTGCCATAGGCCTGAGACCACATTCTGTTTCTTCCTCCAACAGGTCAAAAAGAGTAGCAAAAAGCACCTACTGCATCTGGCAGCAACCACCTTACCATCCAAGAAACGACCTTGTTTGCAGGTGTTTCTAGAGCCTCAGCCTTCTCCAGGACAGGGGCTTCTGGAGCAGAAACCTTCAGAGCCGGAATTAGAGTTTCTGGGAGAGAACCAAGCCAATATGCAGAGTCAACAGTCAGCGCTTCCTGTTACTCAGGATCAACCGGCACCAAAGCCAGGCAAACGACATCAGCATCCCCTGCCACTCATTCCTTCTCCAGGAACAATAGAAGATGTGACATTGCAGGAGAGCAATCCAAAAGAAGCTATGGCGTGAGCAGTTCCCTTGTCCCATTACCAGCAGATCATTGCCATTTTATTGTATTTTTTCCCTTAAATTTACAGACACAAAATCATAGATTCAGATACAAATTTTGATAGAGATTTTGTTGCTCTGCTCCAAAATCTATTAATTAGACTGCATTCTAGCTAAGCCATTTACTAGCCAAACGCGAAACTCAAGTTTCTGAAATGCATTCTCAAACTTCCCTGGAATAAGTATCCCTTGGGTTTTAAATGTACGGTATCTTTAAATCATATTCTAAGGGAAAGAGGTCTCCTCCTCCCTTTTTACCAAAAGATAATTCTGTTACAGGTTAAAACAGACTAAAATTGAATTTAAACAATTATGAAATCATATTCGGAAAGCCAATAATTTGATCACGATGGACATTTCTACATCAGGGCTTTAAAAAAACCCATTCTTACCAGGTTTATATGAAAGGTAGCCTTTGGGTTACCATAGGATTGGAATTTCCATCATTCTGCAATAGAGTCATAAAGCACATTGTCACATGACCACATCACTTGGTAACAGCAGTTCTGAAGTCTCAGTTGCCATTGTGGTTTCCGGACCACATAGTTCATTAACCGAGGCTCTCATGTGACCATGATATGTGAAAAGGGAGGAATCCCAGGCAAACAGGCCAATGGGCAAGAGTTGCGGGTGACAGCCACAGGCAGTTGTATGGATGCTCCAAGCAGGCACAATGGAGTACGGCAGGTGGGTGCCAGCAGCAGCTGCTGTGTAAGAACGGGTGAGCAATTGCTGTTGGCAAGCACTATGGAGTGGGGATGGGTGTATGGGTGGCACAGGCAAGTGCTATGGAGCATGGCAGTTGTTGTGAGTCAGTGCTAGGGTGTGCTGGCAAGGGATAGGTGCCATGAGCAGGCAGGTAGGTGAAAAAGTAGCAGGAATTATTTACAATGTCCCCCTGGCTTTCCCATTGACTTTGCTCGTGGGAAGCTGGCAGAGAAGGAAACAACTGGCATTCATGGGATTACGGGATGCTGCTGCTGCTGCTGCTGCAACCATTGTAATTGTGAGCTTCTTGCTAAGTGCCTGAATTGCAGCCCCTTGACCATGGGTGTGCTGCGGTGGCTGGAACTTTGCAGACAGATTAGATTAGATTAGATTAGAGGTTTATTTATATGCCGCCCTTTTCCCTGAGGGGACTCAGGGCGGCTCACAATCCAAAGGAAGGGGGGAAAACAGACTTTTACATATAAGACAATACATGATTA